AAAAAACAAAACAAAAACAAAACCAACCATTTCACAGAAAGGAAAGAAATAATATGAAATCAGTATAAGAAATACACTAACAAGCAAAAATATATGGGAAAAGAGGAACATGGAAAATAAAATTTTGACTTAACTGAAGGAACGGAGAGACTGGTGTACACAGGAAAAATGTGCATCATGGCAAGTCAGGTGTGAGGATTTTAGAGTAGCAATCTATATGACTTGAATCTCCCCTGTTTCCTGAATAAAAATGACATCTTGCAGTATTATACTTCATGGCTCAGACACCTACCTCCCTTGGCTATATTCCTTACCCACTCTAGCCTTTACTTAAAAATGCATCTGAAAAACTGGGGATTATAGCTTAAGAAGAAAAATAACCACACACAAGTATTCCCCTTTCTGTGGCTACTTCAGACCTGGGTTTGTTTCTAGAAAATTCCTGAAGAAAATTTAAATATAAGTCTGTGGCTTTGCTAAATCAAGTCTCCCAGTTAACATTTAGAAAACACCCGCTGTTTGGGCTAATAGCACTGTTGATGGTACCTATAGAGGGATAGCCAAACATAGTCTTGTCTCAAAACCAGTGTTAAAATCAATCTCTTGGTTGAGAGAAAAAAGGGGAGTCTAAAATCACAAGTACAGACATATCTAGGACCCCTGTCCTTCTGGATCCACACTCCCTTCAGGGTCTTCATCATTATAAATGTTCTCTGCCATCTGCCACACTTGCATGATATTATCTTCTGATACAGAACAAATCACCCAAGGTTCATTGGGATTCCAGGAGAAATCAGATATCTTGGCAGTGTGACCACCATGAATAAACAATAATTCTGGTGGCCCATCTTCTGCATCTTCTGGGGATTGTTCTTCTCCAATTTTACTTAAATCCCAGACATTCAGCCTACGATCAGTACCACTGGAAGCCAAAATGGTTTCATTGTGAGGTGACCACTGAACCTGGAATACTTCATCCTTAAGTGATTCAAAGGAATGCAACTTAAGTTTCAGATTTCTTAGATCCCACAAAGCAACAGTCTTGTCAGCTGATCCTGTGGCAAGAATGAATTCACTATAAGGATTGAAAGAAAGGCAGTTCACTTCAGCAGTGTGAGCATCAACTGAGTGACTTGGTTTGGAAGTATTATTTGAACGAGTATCCCAGCTTTAGTAAAAAAAAAAAAAAGAAACAGAAAATAAAACAATTTGAAATGGGTGACTAAACACAAAAACTTAATATATGAAGAAGAAAAAGGATTCTACTCACATCATAAGTTTCTGATCATCAGCAACAGACCCAAACAGAGACTCATGGAGCAGATGCCAAGAAACATCTTCAACTACTGCTGTGTGTCCAGTAAAGATGGTCTTTGCATCCACCACTTTTCCTTCCTTTGGAACAGCACTGATGTCCCACAGGCAGATGGTCTTAAATTAAAAAAGTAACCATTTTATAAAAGGACAATTTCCTCCCCCACCCCAACTTCTAAAAGAAACTATCAACAGGAAGCCCAAATTTGTTTCAAAATGGGAAGGATACGCACATGGTCATCTGAAGCACTAAGCAAGTGCCCACTGAGGTTTGGATTCCAAGAAAGCCCATAGCCTTCCTTTTGATGTCCACGGAGGCGCAGATCTGGGTTGCACTCTCCAGAAGGGTCTGGTTTAGAAGGGTGTTTTGTGTAGTCAAAAACAAGAACATCACTGGATGGAGTCTTTGTTGCAATAATGCAAGGGTTCTGGGGCGTATAACGGGCCCTGTTTACTTCTCCTTCATGGTTGATCTTGATTTCTATTTCAATTTTTCCACTAACTGAGCCAAAACCTCCAAATTCTCCTTTCTCACTGTCATAGTGTGAC